GTAGAAGTAATGCTAACCAGTCAGCTCTCAGCAGCAGTGATACTAACCAGTCAGCACTCAGTAGCAGTAATGCTAACCAATCAGCACTCAGTAGCGGTAATGCTAACCAGTCAGCGCTCAGTATGAGTAATGCTAACCAATCAGCACTCAGTAGCAGTAATGCTAACCAGTCAGCACTCAGTGACAGTAATGCTAACCAGTCAGCGCTCAGTATCAGTAATGCTAACCAATCAGCACTGAAAAGCAGTAATATAGTCTAAAAATATAGTTTAATTGTTTTCACCCTCATCCACAGGACCTGCTCGTGAGCGCCCTCTAGCACTGTACAGTCATTTTGTGGTATAATGGGAGAAATATGAAGTAACCAGGCTCCTCTTAAACCGGCTCTGCCACATCTTATTCTGACAAGCGTCGCCATCTAGTGGCGGCTAAATGTGTTTTATTCACTCCAAGCTCCCCACATCTGGATGTATTCTCTGCTTTATCCTGGATTGAAGCCTTTAATCTACCATCTGTTTTTTTATGGTGTTTGCTTTTGTCTGCAGATAATTTGTACATTTTTATGTATCTGTTGTTGCTGAGATGAGACCTGGGTTTGAGAAGAACCCAAACTAAACACATTATTAATAGTAGTAAGGCTGTTGTGTGTAAATCTACCTTGCAACACACTGTTTAAATGCTCTGTGAAGCTGGCTCACAGCTCCGCTCCGCTCCGCCTCCCTGCCTCGAGCAGTTTTAACTGCTAATGAGTCTCCACAAGAAGCTACACGTTAATGGACACATTTCTACCCACAAACAAGGCCTTTTAAACCCCTAACAGTGTCTGAAACAGCAGCAGCAGTCTGATTCAGCACTGCAGGCCTACAGATAAATATAAATATAACTAAAAAACAAATGTAATGGTCAGGAAAAATGTTTATTTTTTGTATAAACGATTCAGTTACATGATATTCAGTACTGTGCAAGCATTATGTGTGTGTATTAGGGCTGCAACAAACGACTAACTTCATAGTCGAATAATCGATCGATTACTGAAACGAATAATCGATGGTTCGGACTATAATCACTACATTACCAAATAACTTTTATGTAGCTATTTGCTTTTAAAATGTAGCTTGAGGTTGTTTTCTGCTTTTGCTAACCAACAATGAAGACAATAAAGATGAACAGCATTAAAGAATTCACTGTTTTAATGAACTTTCCTGCTAAAACAAAAGATAAAAGAATAAAACTCCAATGTAAATTTTCCAGTCAAAATTTATAATCAAGGCTGTGCAAAGTAGAAGCAATAAAATAACAAAACTAAATCAGTTTTCCTTTAATCATGTAAATAAAAAAATAATTAAATTTAAATGTTAAATGTAAACAGTGCAGTCTGTGATCTGTGTTTTCTACTGTCTGTCTACATGCAGTGTTTAAACCTGTAAACGTTATCTGTAAAGTGAACAGCGTCGCTGTGAATAACAGTTACTTGCTTCTCTGTTCAAACTCCATTAACAATACCAGAGAGCAGCATTTCGAAATACAACATGTTAACAGCACAGAACATGAAATAGGGGCGGCTTTTAACAATAACATTAGCTCACTGGCACAACTATCGCCGCGTCCCAAACCACACACTTCTGCACTTCACACACTACACTAATGAGTGCACTTCTAATGGTATATGCTCTATTTTTACGCACTACTTAGTGAGCTAGTATGCGGTTTGGTACGTGGCATATCTCACCGAGATGAATCTTCTTCACCCAGTGAGGCGACGAGTTTCCTCTTCAGATGCTCCAGCATGGAGGATGAGCTCAGTGCCAGCTAAGCTCGGGCTTTACAAACAGCACAACTGCCAACCTTTTTTCTGAGTTTAGCTCCCGCACTTTTGAGGATTTTGTTGTTGAGGCTGCCGTCGCGCTGTTGTTAAGTCTCCAGTGAGCGGTAATGTTAAAATGTTCCTAGTGAGCTCGAGAAAGACGTGCAATGATGTCACCAACTAATTTTGTCATCAATTTCGTCGGTTAAGTTGAATAATGGATGCACCCCTAGTGTGTATATACATACATTGTGTGTGTATATGTGTGTGTGTATATATATATATATATATATATATATATATATATATATATATATACACACACACACACACACATACACACATATATGTGCATATATGATATTATTTGCACAAATGTACCATTACAAAGCATCATAAATGAATGTATGTGACGCTGTGGTGCTTTAACCTGGTCCAGTGTGCTTCAGCCTGAAGTTCTCATCTGGAAATCTGGGGCCGTAGATGGACTTCCCCCCGGTGCCGTTATGGTGGGTGAAGTCTCCACCCTGCAGGTCAGACAGAGCTATATTTAATATACATTGACTTCTGTATCACTATAACACTTAGAGTGAACCTACTTATATGGGTTATATATATATATATATATATATATAATAATAAAAAATGTGCCATTCATTCAAGCTTAGTATGCTTTATTTGTGACACAGACCACAGGAATTACCCAAAATGAATAAAATTATATTATGTAATATTTTTATTTATTTATTTTTTATAATTAAAATATAGGTACTCAGTATGAGCTGATACTTAAGGATCAGGTAGTGGTTTTGGAAGTGCTATTCTTCATCATTCCACCCCTATATCATCAAACACACATGTCTATGAATCGGGTGCCTGTTTGTGTATACACATACACACCATATATACATACATACATATATACATATATACACACACACACTGATCAGGCATAACATTATGACCTCCTCCTTGTTTCTACGCTCATTGTCCATTTTATCAGCTCCACTTACTATATAGGTGCACTTTGTAGTTCTACAGTTACAGACTGTAGTCCATCTGTTTCTCTGATACTTTGTATGCAGTACTGCTGTGTCTGATCCACTCAGACCAGCGCAACACACACTAACACACCACCACCATGTCAGTGTTACTGCAGTGCTGAGAATGATCCACCACCCAAATAGTACCTGCTCTGTGAGGGTCCATGGGGGTCCTGACCACTGAAGAACAGGGTAAAAGGGGGCTAACAAAGTATCAGAGAAACAGATGGACTACAGTCTGTAACTGTAGAACTACAAAGTGCACCTATATAGTAAGTGGAGCTGATAAGATGGACAATGAGTGTAGAAACAAGGAGGTGGTCATAATGTTATGCCTGATCTGTGTATACACACACACACACAAATGTAAACTACTGAAATTGCTTCTATTTTGCTTTCTTATCTAATTTACAGAGTTTTCCATTAGAAATATCTCAACATAACAATCTGAGAGAAAAGTAAAATCAATATGAATTTCAGAATTTCTCAGTATTTGGTGGAGTGTCCCCATTTTTCTATAATGGCGCGTGCACTCGAGCTGCATGGCTTCAACAAGTTTGTGCAAAAGCCTCTAATGAGCAGAACAAGTCCACCTGGGAGTCGTCTGAACACGAGCTTCACTGGAAGAAATTAAACTAAAAAAAAAAAGTTCAGATCTTTTTGTACAAAGATTTCGACACGGCCAACTTCACAACCCTGCCTAAATCTGAACAGGGACCGAGAAACAGTGCAGAGCTCTGAATATTTCTTCATTTATATACGTTTTAAATGTATATTTGTATACGAATTCTGACCTTTTCAGTCACGATAAAAGAGTGTCCTGAATAAAGAGTGTCCTGAATAAAGAGTGTCCTGAATAAAGTGTCCTGAATAAAGAGTGTTCTGAATAAGGAGTGTTCTGAATAGTGCCCTGAAGTGTCCTAAATAGTGTCCTAAATAAAGTGTCTTGAATAAAGAGTGCTCTGAATAAGGAGTGTTCTGAATAAGGAGTGTTCTGAATAAGGAGTGTCCTGAATAGTGCCCTGAAGTGTCCTGAATAAAGAGTGTCCTGAATAGTGCCCTGAAGTGTCCTAAATAGTGTCCTGAATAAAGAGTGTTCTGAATAAAGAGTGTCCTGAATAAAGAGTGTCCTGAATAAAGAGTGTCCTGAATAAAGAGTGCCCTGAAGTGTCCTAAATAGTGTCCTAAATAAAGTGTCCTGAATAAAGAGTGTCCTAAATAAAGAGTGTCCTGAATAAGGAGTGTCCTGAATAAGGAGTGTCCTGAATAAATAGTGCCCTGAAGTGTCCCAAATAGTGTCCTGAATAAAGAGTATCCTGAATAAAGAGTGTCCTGAATAGTGCCCTGAAGTGTCAAAATAAAGTGTCCTGAATAGTGTACTGAATAAAGAGTGTTCTGAATAAAGAGTGTACTAAATAGAGTGTACTGAATAGAGTGTCCTGCATAAAGTGTCCTACAGAGTGTCCTGAATAGTGCCCTGAAGTGTCATAAATAAAGTGTCCTGAATAGTGTCCTGAATAAAGAGTGTACTGAATAGTGTCCTGAATAAAGAGTGTACTGAATAGTGTCCTGAATAAAGAGTGTACTAAATAGAGTGTACTAAATAGAGTGTCCTGCATAAAAAGTGTCCTAAAGAGTGTTCTGAATAAAGAGTGTTCTGAATAAAGAGTGTCCTGAACAGTGTACTAAATAGTGTACTGAATAGTGTCCTGCATAAAAAGTGTCCTAAAGAGTGTCCTGAATAAAGAGTGTCCTGAATAGTGTCCTGAATAAAGAGTGCCCTGAATAAAGAGTGTCCGAATCCGCCTTCATAGTGATCTTCTGGTTATTAGTTCATATAAGAGGAGTGTTATTATCACATATCAGCCACACCTCTCCTCTCCTCTCAGCACTAAGCCGAAAATAACAGCACTGAGATACCAAATAACAGCGCTGAGTCACGACAGGCTGGAGGAACCAACTCCTACTAAGCCTGGTCTCACTTTGGTCCAGCGTAGACGGTCATTCAACTGGACTGACTTTGTAAATGTTAGAACTGATTCTACTAATACTCAAAATAACATGTGGCCAAAATAAAACTAAAGGCTGTTTTCAAATGTATAAACCCAAAAGAAGCTTGCTGTGTTTACGGTCTATATTCCACTACTGAGTCACAGTAACGCACTGAGCTTATTTAACTGGACCTTAATCAACTTTAACGATTAAACAGCTGTAACTGAAGTGGGAAGACCTGTGTTGGTGAGATGTAACTGATCTGTGTTTGGTGGCAGTAAACAGTATGTATGTCACCCAGAGGCTAAAACCCACTGCTGAAGTTTCACTTCCCTGAAGACAGACAGAAGAGGAAGGGCACTGAGCGTCCGTGTGGTCAGACGTTCTCTGGGCAACTAATTACTAACCGTCGCACCACAGAGAGTCGTGTGTAAAAGTCTGAACACCCCCAGTCAAATGACACGCTTTGTTGAAAATGACTTAACACACAATCTACAAACAACACGTTTAAATATGGAATTATTCTGGAAATTTTAATGCACAATTTATTTCTTTTTGCTAAGTTTAACATTTAAAAAGCAAAACAAAAAAAATGTAATAAATAAAATATGGCCTTTGCAAAAAGTGAGCACACTTTATATGTTTTACTTAATTTTCTTAAACTCAGGAAAAAATACGCACTAAAATTTGCTATTTATATACTAAGTTTACCATCCATCCATCATCTAAACCGCTTATCCTTCTGGGTCGCGGTGGGGTGCTGTCATTGGGCGGAAGGCAGGATACACCCTGGACAGGTCGCCAGTCCATCGCAGAGCAGACAGACAGACATATACATTCACACACTCACACCTAGGGGCAATTCAGCATGTCCAATCAGTCTGACTGCATGTCTTTGGACTGTGGGAGGAAACCGGAGTACCCGGAGGAAACCCACGCAGACACGGGGAGAACAGGCAAACTCCACACAGAAATGACCCTGGTCACCCAGTCGGGAATCAAACCCAGGCCATTCTTGCTGTGAGGCGACAGCGCTACCCACTGCGCCACCGTGCCGCCCTAAGTTTACCATATTGGGAAAAAAATAAAACAAAACATAAAATGTGCCGTTGCTTTTGCACAGGCCAAATTTTATGCTTTATTTCCTTTCCCAATATGTTAAATAAGCCAAACATATCATTTGACCAGGGGCGCCCAAACTTTTGCACAAGACTGTATGCATGTATATTGCTGCGGTGGAACATTTAATTAAAAAATACCAGCTGCTGTTTATACTGCGCCAAAATCTTATGATGAATGAGGACAAACCAATAGAAACGGTTCAAACTGATTTAAAATACTGTTACACAAACACACACCGATCAGGCATAACATTCTGACCACCTCCTTGTTTCTACACTCATTGTCCATTTTATCAGCTCCACTCAGACCAGCACAACACACACTAACACACCACCACCACGTCAGTGTTACTGCAGTGCTGATAGTACCTGCTCTGTGAGGGTCCATGGGGGTCCTGACCACTGAAGAACAGGGTAAAAGGGGGCTAACAAAGTATCAGAGAAACAGATGGACTACAGTCTGTAACTGTAGAACTACAAAGTGCACCTATATAGTAAGTGGAGCTGATAAAATGGACAACGAGCGTAGAAACAAGGAGGTGGTCATAATGTTATGACTGATCCGTGTACATCACAAGTTAATAATGTTTTTACTGCAACCAAAAGTATGTGGACACCCCTTCTAATTATTAATACTCAGGTGTTTCAGCCACACCCATTACTAACAGGTGTACAAACCCAAGCTCACAGCCTTGCAGTCTCCACAGACGAACACTGGCAGTAGAGGGTCGCACTGAAGAGCTCAGTGACTTTAAACATGGCGCTGTCATAGGATGGCACCTCTGACACAAGTCAGTCTGTAAAATGGAAGCGTGACAGCTCAGCCACAAAGTGGTGAACCACACTAACTGACAGAGTGGGGCTACTGAGTGCTGAAGCACGTAAACATCACTCACTACAGAGTTGCAGAAGCAACATCAGCCAAAGAACTGTGTGTTGGGAGCTTCACCAAATGGGTTTCAGCAGTCGAGCAGCTGCACATAAGCTTAAGATCAGAATGTGTCGGCTGGAGGGGTGTAAAGCACCACCACTGGACTCTGGAGCAGTGGAAACGTTCTCTGGAGTGACGAATCACGCTTCACTATCTGTCAGCCTGATGATGAATCTGGGTTTGGTGGATGCCAGGAGAACGTCACCTGCCAGAATGCACAGTGCCAACAGTAAAGTTTGGTAGAGGAGAGATGATGGGCTGGAGACCTAATAATAATAATAATAATAATAATAATAATAATAATAATTGGGAACCTTTCCTGTTCCAGCATGACTGAGCTCCCTGTGCACAAAGCAGCTCCATAAAGACATGGAATGACCAGTTTAATGTTTAGGAACTCCAGTGGCCCTCACAGAGCCCTGACCTCAACCCCACTGAACACCTTTGAGATAAACTGGAACGTGAGCCAGACCCTCTCGTCCAACATCAGTGTCTGACCTCACAAATGCTCTTTTGACTGAATGGGCACAAATTCCCACAGACACTCTCCAAAAGCTGTTACAGCCGCAAAGTGGGGCAACTTAATCCCCACGGTTTCGGAATGGGACGTTCCCATCAACCTCATAGAGGTGCGATGTATAGGTGTCCACATACTTTTGGCCATACACACACAGTGTACTGTGCAAAAATCATGGGCATAAATATTATTTAAACCATTTATCTTGGCATTAAGTATGTTTTTGCTTGTAAAATCACCACATACCATTAGAATGAATGCAAATAAACATATTAATACAGTAAAAAGTAACAAGAATGTCATATAATCAATATATATTTGACTAGAGGCACACAAACTTTTGTACATGACTGTGTGTGTGTGTGTCTGATTACGCCCTATTTAAGCAGTAGAAGACGAGAGGGAGTGTTTTATTGCGAAATAACATCACGGCTGTGATTTGGTCGCCGTAGATCATCACAGCCGTGATGTTATTGGTGATAACACACTCCTCGAGTGCTCTACTGCTTTAATACAACAGTTAAATAAATACAGTAATAAATTAATAAACTGGGCCGTGAACGCGGCGTTTAATATGTTTTAATGTTCGCAGTTCCTTCACCAAATTATAGTTCCTTAACGAGCAGCTCGCTGCTACGTCAGAGTAACGAGCTCCGCCCACTTGCTGCACAGCCGGCAGTTCGTTCTCCAGCTCCACACAGACAAGCTAAGAGTTTGGGAATTTAGTGTCGTCTCATCTTCAGAGTCTGACCAAATCGGCTGTCGGTCAAATGTGATCTTAAAAGTGTCCGTTTTCTGTTTGTGGCAGAGTAAGAAGTAAAAACTTTCAGATGGCTTGAGCGTCTCCTACAGCTGTCAAAGTCGTTGCTTAGCAACGGCGTCTCACCGGAGTGATACAGTGTTTGTGAAAAACCTGTGATGTTATGGTGAAATAACAGCACAGTTAGAGACGCCTCTCAACCAATCAGCTCGCGTAGCCGGAACTGACTGTTGTATAATATGTTCTAACAGTGAGTTTTAGTACCTGACACATGAACTGTGGGATGACTCGGTGGAAGATGGAGCCTTTATAACCGAAGCCATGTTCTCCTGTACACAGAGCCCTGAAATTCTCTACAGAGACAAACACAGTCAGCACTGTTAGAACAGCCCTGCACAGTGAAGTACGCAGCACACATAGCATTTATGCTGGAGAAACTGGGAACGTATCGCTACCACTTTCTGAAAGCGCAGCTCTGATATCTAAATGGTGCACAGATAATAAATAAGAAGTCCTGTTATGTGCTGAGATAACAGAGAAAGCAGCTACATGCTGCGTTTTTATTAAGGTAACACTGTACAATACTGTACCTTAAAGGGGAATGCCACTGACTTATCAAAATTTCTGTGGTTAAGACGTAAACAGAGCGGTTCAGAGTGGTTTGCTGTGAAACGCTCTGTTCTAGAGAAACTTACAGAGTCAGAACTGTTCACAGTGGTGGTGATAGGAACCAGACGTCCACCTCTAAAAGCTCCCTCACAGAAAGTTACTACATGAAATGGTTATGAATTCACTGCCTGATGACTGAGACACTGTTTAACGATAGATTTAAGAAGGTTTTGGTCTAAATCTTATTTTTTAAGTTCATTTATAGTGGAGAAGTACATGCAGAAAAACGTATTATTTCAGATTTTCCACTATTTTCCATCATCAACCTTCCATATAAACTCAGAAGACTCGTGTAGGTTCACTGGTGGTTCTGGATTGTAAATAAAACGTCTATATTCGTGTTGTAGTCATGGCGACCCCTGGTTCCTATCACCACCACTGTAAAGACAACTGAACCATTTCACACCAAACCACTCTGAATCACTCTGATTTCATCTCATACACTGAATTATACAGAAATTTTGAAAAATCAGTGAAATTATCCTTTCATTAATGCATGTCTCGATCATCATACGCACTAAACAGAACAAAAGCAGCAATGATGTAAAATTACATAATACACTTACCTGCAGTTTTGGGAACAACGTCAGCGTTCAGCTGAAACACAAGACGCAGAAAGAGAACAACAAGATGACGTACTGATAAGAAGAGGAGGAAAACATAGGAACCTGCCTACACAGGTTAACACCCTTAAACGTTCACAGCTCTTAAAGGATTCAGGTTCTGTGATCGTACAATATGGACAATATGAACATAAGCTGCACTAAACCCATCTCAAAAAGGGAAATCACAACTTTCCCCATATTTACAACGTTAAAATCACTTTAAGTGCCTATAACAAGCCTCATGCCAACTCTACACACTCTTAAAAAGATGGTTCTTCAAGGGTTCTTTAGTGGTTTTATTTAGAATGTGAGTTCTGTATGGAACGGTTTCATGCTTATATGGTTCTTTAGATTGATGGAGAGTGTGCTGTATATGGTTCTAGGGTTATTTACAACTGTAACAACAGCAGAACCCTTTTTGGTGCTGTATAGAACCACATACAACACATTCTCCATCAATCTGAAGAACATTTCACCATGTACAGCACCATTTAAGGAAAAATGGTTCTAGATAGAGTTCAAAATTCTATGCAGAACCAGTCCCTTTACTAAAAAAACCCCTCTATTTTCAGTGTAGCTAAGCTGAGTAAGTTATAGTTTTACTGTATGTTGAATGTATAATTCTATAATACTTCATATTTTCATAAATCAGCTTGAGCATGTTTAACTATCACATTATCTGCTCTCTAATTTTGTACTCTACATTTCATGTAATAATATCTTCTATATTAACTCTTTGTTTTTATACTCCAGCTTGGCTGCAGGACGAGGCTTCTTTTTTCAAACTTTCCGTTCCACCTTAAACAGTCAACGGTGCGGCAGTTACACACAGGCGCCTAATGCAGGCAAGACCGTGACCGCTGCTCCATTTAAGGTGGAACGGAAAGTTCGAATAAGAAGCTACTATTCGAGGCTGTAGGTCAAAGGCAAAACGCCACAGTCTCACAGCTGCAGCCACAGTTACTCTCTCCAGCGAGTCTAGACTCATTAAAAAATAATTAAGCCCGAATATCTGTTGTTAGTGCTGGCTGGTCCAACAGGCTGCGAGTCCAGCAGTAGTTCATCTCCGACTAACTCACCTCGAAGGTGACTCTGCCGAGCGGCTGGTTGTCCGCCGCGATGTCAAAGTAAACCACCGGGTTACCGTTGGCTTGGGCTCCGTTCGCGTACATGCGAGCAGCCGTGAAGGCCAAGGAGCAGAATTTAATCCTGTTTTTGGTGATAATCATCGCCATAAACTCACAAACCGCTGCAGAAAAACTAAAAACACTCCGCTCGTCTCCTTCACCACCGGAAACCGTGCAGACACGGAAACACGACGTTCCGCTATGATAACGTACTCTGCCCACTTTTTGATGACAAACTGGCACAAATTCATAAAATAATCTAATTTCCAAACATGATAATAATAATAATAATAATAATAATAATACATGTAAAGGTGAATAAACCACTTGTGCTGTATGTCTGCGACTTTATCTTTAGCCGCTATACATTTTTCACAACTCACTTTAAAGTTTTTCCAGGATATTTACGTGGCGCATGAAACCCTATTTTGTAATCCGTGTTGTTATTAACCATTTCGAACATCGTTCTGTGTTGCAATAGTTCATTTTTTGCGGATTGTAGTACAACCAGCGTCTAAAAAAACTACAACTCCCATATAACCCCGCTCTCCGGCCGCGCGAGCATTATCCTGTGGCTCGTTGCGTTCTTTAGCGATATTTACTGCTTTTAGAATAAATAAAACTGACATTTAAAAGGGGATGATGTTATAAATAACATTCATTTGACACTATTTTTGGCTAGATATGCGGCTACGCTAGCTAGCTATCTAGGACTGGTAAAGCTACAGTGCCCGGATGAGGCGGCGATATCTGATTTGTCCAGATGATCTGTTGCGCATCGGGACATGTAGTTTGTAAGAAAACGGACTACAAAAAAGGACTTACAGTCGTAAATCTTCACATATATGAACAAATATCGACATATTTGATGTCTACGTGCATTTTACTCACACAGGCTAATTCAGGAATGTTGCGGATCAGAAACAAATAAAAAATAGACAAAAATCCCATATATTTATATTGTCACAGAAGTAGCTAGCTAGCTACGTTGCTCAAAATACTGAAGGTGAATTATTTTGGGATGAGAGCGAGGAAACAGAAGATTATATAAGGTTAATATAATTAATTAATATTATTTTCAGTTTCACATTACAGCAAAAAACACATAAATTCAGATTTTTTTGCTAATCAGATCCAAACCACATTCGGAGGTAGTTTTAAAGGTGACTCCAGTCTGATTTCTACACTGGACACTCAAATCAGATTTCAAGGTTTTTGAGCTCACTGAGAATCTGGGATTTTTTCATGAAGCCGTTTAAATGAAGAAGAACTGTTGAAGGTTCTGCACTGGTTCTAGCTCACTGTTTAAACTGGAGCAGATCTGAGATGCTGACCATGTTAAGCTCTTTGTACTAAAAGCTCAGGTCTGTTTTTAGTCTCGTCTCTTCCACTAAAGCTCCTGTTCAGTCGACTCTCAGGTGGATCTGATCTGCTCAGCAGAGGCTTTTACACAGACCTGTGGACGTCATGCAGCTCCAGTGCACGCTGTCATTAGAGCAAAAGGAGGGACACGCCACCAAATACTGAGAAGTTCTGAAATTCAGGTTAAAATTTCTACAGTTCAGTGAAAATGCTGATGATTTGTAATGAAAAAGTTTATTAAATTAGTAATGAATGCTAAACAGAAGCATTTTCTCTAGTGCTCTCAGACTTTTGGACCCCACTGTACTGATATTTAAATGTAGATTCTTTTTGACTTTTATTAAATTATATATTTTGGCTCCGTATTTCCAGTCATAATCAGTAAAATTTGACACAAAATCTCCGTCCAGAGATCCTCCTTCACTTCAGTGGAGCTTCTCTGTCCTTTTTCCTCCTCTGCTTACAGTAAATTCAGACGGTAACACTTTACTGTATGGTGCTGTTCATAAGGTTACATGACACCTACATAAGCTTGTCCTAACAGCTGACATAGCCCTACATAACTGTTTATAAATGCTTATTCCAACAGGCGTCATAAAGGCTACTTTAGCTGACTTTGATCAAAATTGGCAAACGTAACCTTTATAGTGAATGACACCTGTTGGAATAAACATTTATAAATATTTATGTATGGTTATGTCAGTTGTTAGGACAAGCTTATATAGCTGTCATGCAGCGTTATGAACAGCACCCTACAGTGAAGTGTTACCATTCAGACATTTACTGTAGTTTACTGCAGGAAACTCCACAGCAGGATTATACACAACTATAGAGTTTATTACAGTGTCACTCTAGATTTGTACTGTAAGGGTGATGAAAGTATGAGTGACAGCACTTTATCTTAAAGCTGTCAATCAGCAGAAACTCTTTCTGACTCAGATTATGTAATTAAACAGCAGCTTCACTATAATTCACCTGTGAACAAGAAGCAGATTTAAATACAGCAATTTTACACTTGAAGTATACAGAGAACAGTAAAAGTACATTTTATATTTCACATATTTTATGGAAATTCACCTAAAAAAAGCATTTCTGTATTTTTCAAAGTGTATATTTTTGAACAAACACATTTTAAATGATGCTTTATTATTATCAAAAAAGAAATGCTTGAATAAATGTAATACTTAACATACTGAAAAAAATTTAAACAAAAATATATTCAATTGCAATCAACCTACGTGTATTTTAGTACAATGTTTTTTAAAGAAATGACTTTTAAAGTATATTTTATTACACTTTGTTGCATATTAATTACAATACATTTAAAAAGAACTACTAATCAATCATGGATATCAATACACCTGAGAGTTCACATTTAAAATGTTTAATTTTGTAATATTTTAATATCTATTTTAATATATTTGGTACATATTAGTACATATATGTTAAATTCATCACAACATAAGTTCCAGTTTAGAACAGAAAAGCACTTTCAGGCAAAGAAGATGGATTTCAACATCAGTTGAATATAATTTAAGTGTGTATAAGTTGTATTTAGTAATTTGTAATACATTTCAAATTCAAAGCTTATACATTAACAGTGTTTTTATAAGTATACTTAAATACATCTTATTTGTTTAACGTACTTAAGTTTATTTACGTGATTTCAAATGCATTAAGTGTATTTTGGTTGCAGTATAACTCAATAAGTACCACTTAAGTGTTTATAATATTTATAAGCTGTTCAAATAAAGCACAAAGCACAAATGAATGCATTTAATATATTTAATTACATCTTAATTACAGTCTAAACACACAAGTTTCTTTACATTCAGTCTGAACTGAAGAAAGTTTAAAGTGTAAACATTAAAAGTTTGTACTTTTCATATTAAACACTTTTGAAAAGTTCACTTAAATGCGTTTCTCTTCCTCAAGGGTCACTACATTCTGTCCACTTGACTGTAGTCTGTCTCTCATTGGTCAGTGAGTGTAATAGAATGTAGAATGCTGTTTGAAGCTGCTCTCTGATGTCATGATGGACTAAAGGCTACAGGGTGTGATGTCATAAAGGTGAAGGTACAGATAATTCCGTCACACTGCTGTTTCACAACATTCTGTGTGGAGCCCCGAAGAGGACAGCTGCTACAATGAGCTGCCTCTGGTTTTGGTGCTGCCGAGTCCACGAGGACGACTCGGACACAGAATGCGAGCGCAGAGACGGAGCGCAGTGTAAGAAGAGAAAGAGAGGAAAGAAGGAGAGGAGTGGGAGGAAATGGAAGATTCAGTGGAAGAAAGAGAGCAAGAACAACATGAACAAAGAAGAAGAGGAAGAAAAGAGCCAAACAAACCAGCAGCCTGCAAAGGTGGAGGAAGAGGCCGATGTTCTGGACCTGCCAGTAGGCCTCGTGTCTGGCAGCCTTAACGGTGAGACGCTGGAGAACATGGCACCTCCAATACAGGAGAACCTCACTGGAGAGACAGATGGAACCATAAAACATCTCATGAAAACACTGCAGGATGAGGTTCAGGCAAACATGGAGCAGCTTCTGAGTGAGTTAATGAGGAGAAATTCATAAAAGACACTGAATAATAGTAGAAATTACTGAATATGCACAGTAGATCCTGAATAATTCATAGTGGATACCGAATAATTCATAGTGGATCCTGAATAATTCATAGTAGGTACTTAATAATTCATAGTAGACACTGCGAGTGTCCAGCCTCTGGGTGAGTAAAAGAAAATAAAAAACAATAAAAATGAAAAAGCTGGAAAACTGAAAGTATTTATTTGTAATTAAGCAGAAAATGAGATGACGACGGTGGCTGATGAAGCGGCGGCTGAAGCCACCAACGAACTCATGGACATCTCTCTGGACAAGACTGAGGAGGAACTTCTGGAGAAACGTCTGGGTGAGTAAAGAAATGAACAGACGTCAGGATGATAATAACACATTTAGTTTGTGTTAAAACAGAAAATCTAATCTGTTTTAATTAATTAATTCAAGATAATCTAGTGAGCAAAACTGAAGCGAACACTGAAGTGGTCAGTGAGCTCCTGGACATCCAGCTGGAGGAACTCCACACAGCGAGTGTCCAGCCTCTGGGTAAGTGAATGAAATGATACTGAATAATTCATAGTGGATACTGAATAATTCATAGTAAATACTGAATAATTCATAGTAAATACTGAATAATTCATAGTAGATGCTGAATAATTTATAGTAGATACTAAATAACTCAAATTAGTCACTAAATATCTTAGTAGATATATAATTATAACAGCAGTCACTGAATAATTCATAGTAGATACTGAATAATTCAGTGGATACTTAATAATTCATAGAAGAAAGTGAATAATTCATAGTAGTCATAAAATATGAATTGAAGATATTGAATAATTCAACTTAGTCACTAAAAAAACATTGTAGATACTGAATTATAATAGCAGACAATGAATAATTCATAGTATATACTGAATAATTCTAGGAAATACTGAATAAGTCATACTGGTACCTGAATAAGTAATGGTGGATACTGATTTATTTATGGTAAATATTGAATAATAGTGGATGCTGAATAATTCAAAGTAAACAGTGAATAATTTATAGCATACACTGAAAAATTCATGGTGGATACTGAATATTTATGATAGATACAAACAAAAATCCTATTAGATACTGAAAAAATCACAGGTGATACTGGATAATTCATAGTACATACTGAATAATTTATAATTGCTGAATAATTCACAGAAGATGCTGAATAATTAATATGAGATATTGAATAATTCATAGTTATCAGTGAATATTCGTGTCAGATTCTGAGAAATTCAT